TTATTATGTTGCACCTTGTCTTGTGTGGTCTTGCCTTGCCTTTGCCTTCCCTTGCCTTGCCTTGTCTTGCTTTGCGTTGCGTTGCGTTGCGTTTCCTTGCCTTGTATGGTTTTGTGTTGTGTTGCCTTGTCTTGCCCTACCTTGGCTTGCCGTGTCTTGTCTTGCCTCGCTTTGGTCTCCCAACTGCTGTGCTGATACGAATCGCAAGGACTTGCTCGATCTTCGCACGGTGGTCCCAGTAGTGAAGTAGGTCGCGCCGCGCGTGGTCTGCGTTGCAGCCTGGGGTTTTCATCTGGACAGGGAACGTGCCCGGTGCTATGTCTCACACTTCGCTGGCGTGGGGGACTTTGTCCCCACCCACAGACCATCTGACGTCCCTTCCCCACCCCCTCGCATCCACGCTTTGGTGCTAACTCACTTGTTTGCGCCCCTCCGCCCCGGACAGATGCAGTAGTCACGCTGTGCTGCCAGTGTGTAAATGGTGGCTTGCGTGACTAGAATTAGGTCGGGCATGTCCCCCCCTACAGGCGGAGATTGGGGGAGAAACACAAAAAAAAAATAGTCCACAAATGCTGCAAAATATTCAAGAAATGCTCCAGAAGTCGTTCCCATACGATTTTTTACCTATTTTTGGTACTCCTCCTGTAGAGGGACAGGCCCGACCTAACCTCAAGCCGGCAGCCAGCCGTCTGCCAGGCTAGTGCGGGCCGGAAACCGAGCGGACGAACCGCTGCGCTGTGTCTCTGTCCGCCCCCCGGGCACGCGGCGGTGCGGGACGCGCAAGGACTGCGGCCCCAAAAAACGACCAAAGCGGAGGCGGGAGAAGTACAAACCGGAAGCGCGGGTGCGGACAGGAGCGCAAAGAGGAGCGGGGAGAAGCTGGACGATGCCCTGTCGCGTCATCGACATGCTGCCCCGAGGCCTGGGCAAGCTCGTCCATGAAGCCAGCGTCCTTTCACAGCTGAGGCCAGTCTCGTCCGCATTTTTTCGAATGCCCCGCAGCTATACCACTGTTGCACTGCCCTAGCCAGAAACACACACACAGGGCACTTGCCAGTGTAACGTTCCTTGGCTTGGCTTCCTTGACAGGCCTCGCCCCCAGGTTCCTTCTGTTGGTTCTCCGGTTCCCTGGCATTGGATCCTCGCTGCCTCGCCACGCAAGGCCAAGCAACACAGAGCGTCGCCGATCACCGCGCTACACTTTGCAAGGCAGCGCCACGCGATGCCGAGCCCGAGGCGAGGCAGAATAGCCCGCCGGGAGACAAATGCGACGCCAGGCTCTCAGAAGAAGAAAAAACTGCATAAACATAAACTTTTGGCGCTCCGCGCGGATTTCCTGGATCTGCGCTGGTCCCCCCTCCCCGGCGCGCGGAGCGCGCCAGGGGCGGCGCCAGAGGCGCCACCAGGGGGGGCCAGCGCGGATCTAAGATATCCTTAGGTCAGGCATGTCCCCCTGCAGGCGGATTTTGGGCGGAAAAAAATACTCACGTAAAACATTTTCACACACACACACACAAACAAAAATAAAATTCGTCCCCTAACTATTTTTCACTATTTTTTAATATTCCTCCTGTAGAGAGAGACACGCCCGACTCAAAGATATCCGCGCGGAGCGCCAAAATTTTATCTTTATGCAGTTGTGTTCCTCTTCGAGGGCCAGCGGACGGCGCAGCCGCTCCCCGCCAGGCCCGGAGCACGAGAAAAGGCAGCAGCCGCGTCCCCCTGGCCAGCGAAGAGCGGGGGCGGCAGCGAGGGGGCCAGCTTGCCGGTGCTGCGTGTGCCCCATTGCGACGCGCACGCCCGACTCGAACGCACACCAGAAGAAAGTCCCTCCAGCCCTCTGTCGGCCAAAACACACACACACAGAGCATCCAAGGATACCCTCCCCAGGATGCACACGAGCATCCCACAAGCACGAAGAACACTGGGGCACCCTCCCCGAACCGACCTCGATCTTCTACCTCGGTCCGACCTTGGCACCCAGGTCCCCCGCAGTTGCGGGTAAGATCCAGGGGGGCGCGGGTGGATCCGCGGGCGGATCGCGGGCGAGGATGACGACAACAGCGCAACGCGACGCCACAGGCAGAACCCGCGCCGCGGAACCACACCTCGGCCACGCACCCGGGGCATGGCGTCAGACCGCCCGGCCCCCACATTCGGTCAGAATGCCTTGCAGCGTACATCTATATATATAGAGAGAGAGGAGAAAAAAAAAAAAAAGAGAGAGAGAGAGAGAGAAAAAAAAAAAAAGAGAGAGAGAGAGAGACCTTCCCGAGTTCCCCTGCCAGACAGCGCCCGCCACGGCGGAGCTGACACGGTCAGAGCTCCGCGCGTGCGCGCCGCCCTGGCGCGGCCGACGCACGCTGCAGTGCACGAGCACGGCCGGGTGGCGAAGAGCGGCGGCCGCCTCGCCCGACCACCCACCAGACCACCCCAACCCAACCCGAGGACCCGAATTTCGGGTCGGTGGGGGGGGGGGGGGGCGGGCTTCATATGTGTTTTTTGTCCATGTTCCCCGACCCCCCCCCCCCGAACTGGAATTGGAGGGCAAATCGGGGGCTTCGGGCTGGGCGGTGATCGCCACACACACACACACACACACCCCTGCGTACGGGGCGGGGACGTCCAGATCCACCACCCCTGTTCAAGCGACGTCCTGGGAGCCCGGTGGGTGTGGAAAGATTTGGCTCCCCCAGAGCCCGGAGATATCCGTACCCAGAGATCCGATGTCGTGATTGTTTCAAGACGGGTCCTGGGAAGTCTCGACCCCTTCCCCGGGACCAGTTTCGTCCTGAATCGTTGTTTGACGGCCCCGGGGCCCGGCGAGGGCCCCTAGGGGCCGAAATCCCACCAGCCCTTTGGGCGTGAGTGGTTTAGAGAGCCCGCTCTGTCCTCAACCCCCCTTCTTCCCCTTCGGGGAGGGGTTTACCCCTCCCCCTACCCCCTCCCCCTGGGCCTGGAGAGGGAACCCCGCGGGTGGTCAGAGGGGCCTTTTTCGACTCCTTGGAGGGCTAAAAAACGACACCCTTCACGAGGATTCTGGCCCCGACGGGGGGAGGCAGAAAAAACCCTCTCCTCATCTTTGAAGCCAAAAACATTGATTTTACGACGGTTTCGGCCCCATTTTCGCCTCCTGAGGGGGCCGCGCTCCTCTTCCTTCATAGCAGAATCATTGATTTTACGAAGGTTTTGGCCTCATGTTGTCCTTCTCAGGGGGGGCAGCGCTCATTTGCGCTTCAGAGGCCCCAAGCTGGCCCCAAGAGGCCCCCAGGAGGCTCCCAAGAGGCCTCCAAGGGGCCCCAAAGAGGCCCCCAAGAGGCCCCAAGAGGCCCCCAAGAGGCCCCCAAGAGGCCCCCAAGAGGCCCCAAGACGCCCCAAGAGGCCCAAGAGGCCCCCAAGAGGCCCCCAAGAGGCCCCCAAGAGGCCCCCAAGAGGCTCCAAGAGCCTCCAAGAGGCCCCCAAGAGGCCCCACGAGGAGCCCGAACGACTCACGCCAGGACGAGGGGCCCGAACGACTCGCACCACGAAGAGCCCGAACGACTCACACCATAAGGAGGGGCCCGAACGACTCACACCAGGACGAGGCGCCCGAACGACTCACACCACGAGGAGCCCGAACGACTCACACCACGACGAAGAGCCCGAACGACTCACACCACGAGGACCCCGAACGAGTCACACCAGGAAGAAGGGCCCGAACGACTCACACCAGGACGAGAATCCCCAAACGACTCAAACCACGAGGAGCGCTTTCTCTCCCTCCTCCTCCGCCTCGTCCTTCTCCCGCTCCCCCCACAAGGAGGATGTACAAGGAGGCGGGGGGAAGGAGGAACAGAGGAGATATGCGGGGCCAAGCGGACACACGCCTGAAAAACACGACTGTCGGCATGCTTCGCGAGAGTTGCTGCTGTGAGATGGGCTGGTGGGGACACGCGAAGCGTAAAGAATTTGGAAAAGTTTGAAAACATGCGCCCACGACTGCTTCGAATGGACCAAGACGGTCCCACGTGAGCCACGGACAGCACACGTGAGGGCCAAAGTGTGTTCAGGGCATGGCGCAGAGGCATACGAGGACGAGGGAAGAGAAACGGAGGAGGAATCTCTGGAGGAGGCGAAGGGGGAGCAGGAGTCGCAGGAGGGAGAGATCAGATCAGACTACGAAAACTCAACATTAGGCAGAAGGAGGGAGGTGAGATGACAAACGTGCTGGCAATGGTGTCCCGTGCTTGGATGGGGGTTCAGCGGATTTTCGTCCAGGAGAACGGACAAGATGTTGCGGCGAAGGGATAGAGAGCCAACAACAGACACACCTACATTCGCATCGCGCCGAAGTGCAAGGGGATCGCACCAGAAATCCCACTGGCACAGGCGCCTGTAGCTTTGCAAGTGCTGTACACGCCGCGACAGCCCGCGCACCGACCGCTGACGCAAAACCCTCTGGCGCGTCTGGGCTGAGCGCGCAGCGTTCGGCGGCAAGCGAGGGGGGGAAGTGAGCAGAAGAAGGCCTTCTCAGACGGCGGCAGGGCTTCTCAGAAACCATCCGGCCTTCTGAGAGAGGGTCTCTGCGTCTTCGGGGAAAGCTCAGACAACTTCTCACAAGGTCGGGCGACTTCCGAGCCTTCTGAAAAGGCCCGCCTCTTCTCACTTCCCCACGGGGCTCGACGCCAAAACATGCTGCACTCTGACCTCGAGGACACCGCGCTGTGCCCGGAAGGTCGCCAAGCTCCCTGGCGCCCTCTCGTAGAGCGTCCGCAGTGGGGGTTCCATGCATCTCCAGACCCCCTGAACCTGTCCTGCAACAAGCAGCGAGTCTATATCTATTTATATATATATATATATACACACCTATGTATATACATGAATGCCTATTTTATACATATATATATATATATATGTATACATATCTAAGTAGACATGTGTATAAATATATATATATATATATAGATATAGAAAGTGAGCCGCGGGGCTGGAAACCGTGCTGCCGAAGTGTGCTGCGAGACATGGCCGTCGTCCGTCGCCGCGCCCAGGGTGCGAGGCGGGGATTTATCCATGTCCACCGCCTGGGAGCCGACGCCCCGGTGCCCCAGCGGGCAGTGGATCTGAATATATCCACCGCCTGCCGAGGCTCCGAAAACCGACCCTCCAGGCGGTGGTCGTCTGTGAATTCCCGCCGCGCCCAGGGCAAGCGGCGCCGCGCAGACTCCCACGCGGGGCCGCCGAGGGGCCGCGCCACTGCTGGCAGGCCCGGGGCGCGACAGAGCCCGGCGCACACTGCGTGCCCAGCCAGCGCACCGCGAGAGGGGCGGGCAGCATCTTGCGCCGTCAGCCGGGCGGGGTAAGGAGGAGGAGGAGGAGGAGGAGGAGGAGGAGGAGGAGGAGGAGGAGGAGGAGGGAGGGGAGGGAGGAGAGGAGGAGGAGGAGGAGGAGGAGGGGGAGGAGGGGAGGAGGGATGGAGGATGGAGGAGGGATTGAGGAGGAGGAGGAGGAGGAGGAGGAGGAGGAGGAGGGATGGAGGGGCGGGCAGCATCCTGCGCCGTCAGCGGGGCGCCGCCCGAGGGGAGCCCACAGAGGACGTACGCGCCCAACGATGTACATGAATACGCCCGTCGTCGTCGTCGTCGCCGTCGCCGTCGTCGTCGTCGTCGGTCGTCGTCGTGGTCGTCGTCGTCGTGGACGTCGTCGTCGTGGTCGTCGTCGTCGTGGTCGTCGTCGTCGTGGTCGTCGTCGTCGTGGTCGTCGTCGTCGTCGTCGTCGTGGTCGTCGTCGTCGTCGTCGTCGTCGTCGTGGTCGTCGTCGTCGTCGGCCGCGAGACCAGCCTCGCGATAAGAGCGTTCGCGCAGTGCGTACAGCCAACCCGTAGAATGGTGGCGCACGATATATAAGGATGCAAGGGCCGCAGAGAGCACGGTGGACACTCCGCTGGCGGGGCGCGGCCAGCGGAGGCGGCCGAGGAGGGGCCGAAGGGGAAAGCTGCACCGAGGATGGGCCGAAGGCGCCGAGGATGGGCCGAAGGGGAACCTCCGAGGATGCGCCGAGGGGGGGCCGAGGATGCGCCGAGGATGCGCCGAGGATGGGCCGAAGGGGAAGAGGATGCGCCGAGGATGGGCCGGCGAAAGCGGCGGAGGATGGGCCGAAGGGGAACCTTGGAAAGTCGCTCGTCCTTACTATGCGGGTTGACTGCACGTTCGAAACCAACATGGATTTTCATGTACGCGTGCGTCCCCCTTGCGCCTCTTCGCCCGAGGGCTCGGTGGCAACCCACGGGAGCCTTCCATACCATCGTGCAGGCTCTTGCGAATCGACGCGAACCGACGCCAGCCGACGCTCATCGACGCTGGCCTGCGCCCAATCGGCGCCCCCCCATCGACTCCCAGACGCCAGTCGACGCTCGTCGGCGCCCGAAGACGGCATGGAAAGGGTGCGCGAGGCTCCCATGACCTGCTACCGTCGGGAGCGGCCAAGAGGGGGGTGTCCAAGAGGGGGGGGTGCAAATCATGACCGGCGGCATGTGCGCGGCCCAGCGGGGAGGCCTGGGACGTAATAAAACAAGAAGAGGCGCCATGAAATCTGAGGAAAAATCATGGCCCGCGCCATGAAATCCACCCCCCCCTAGTCATCACCCCCCTCTTTTCCGCTCCCGATACCGAACGAGGGCCCACGGGCACAGCGGCCGGGCCTGCCCCTTCCTCGGACGACGCCGCCGGCGAGCGCCCCGCGGCAGCCCCGATGGGGCGCCCCGCCCAGGGGCGCCCCGCGGGCGGCGTCCGCGCGGGCCTCCGACACCTCGTGGACCGGTTCCCGCCTCGCACGACGGCGGCCTGCCAACGGCAACCAGCCTCGGAAACTGTCCCTGCCCTTGAGGCCGGTCGGCAAGCCCCAAGGCGATGACAATCTTATGAATGTGCCCGCACTGATCGAGGGAATCCTCAGGGTCGGCGCCGAGGGGAGGTGAGCGACGATCAAAAAAGGGCCTTGCGCGAGATGGCACGGCGACCTTACCCGGTGGCCTACGCGGACCACCAGCGCGGCAAGCCACAGCGGAGACGAGGGCGCTCACGCACGACCTTACGCGGGCAGCTCAGGCGCCGATGCCGCTGAACACGAACCCCTTTCTGTGCGTCGCTCGGGTGATGCCAAGCATAGGGATAGAGACTGGGCTTCCTCGCCGCCCGTCAGCGACGGGCGGCGCGGAGAGCACGGCTGGTTGCAGGGGCGCTATGCATGTTCTCGGCCGTCGGCACGCTCGAACCACAGCAGCAGCCGCTGGCAGCAGCCGCTGGCAGCAGCGGGCCCCCATCCCCCGTGGCGCTCCAGCTGCGTCGCCGCAGCCGCTGGAGCGTCAAGGGCCGCATGGCCCCTATGCCTCGAGCCATGATACCCTGCGCGCGACCGTCGTGAACGACGACGACGACGACAACGACGACGACGACGACGACGACGGCGACGACGACGACGACGACGACGACGACGACGACGACGACGACGTCGCCACGGGCGTCTCGAGCAGTGAATCCAGGCTATTGGGCGTCCAGGTCCCGGAAAGCCCTGGCGAGTCCTGAAGGCCGTATCAGGCAGACGAAATACATGCGCATGCTTCCGAGGCGGGACGAAGACGACGACGACGACGACGACGAAGGCGGACCCCGAAATCCGTCTCAGAACGCCGAAGTTAAGTCGAAGGGAAGCCCCTTCCCTTTATCCCTTCCCTGCCTGGGGGGGGGCGCACGGAGGGGGCGGGGCACGGAGGGGGGGGGGTACCTGGGCTGTGTGGGGAGGGGGGGGGTCCCGGGTCAGAATACCGACCCCCCAATCCCGGCGGGCCCCTGGAGGGGTCGCCAGCGCGGGTCCTGGGGGTGGTCCCGCCTCCCGGATCGGCGGCACCGACCGCAAGGCCTTCGCAATAGCTTACACTAGATTATTTTGCACCGCACAGCTTACACAGCATTACTTCCACCAGATAGCCTGCAATATACATATGTATATACATACATACATACATACATACATACATACATACATACATACATACATACATACATACATGCATGCATGCATGCATGCATGCATGCATACAGACAGACAGACAGACAGACAGACAGACAGACAGACAGACAGACAGACAGACATACATACATACATACATACATACATACATGCATACATACATACATACATACATACATACATATGTGGCTTATACCTAGACGGTACAGCTCACACCGCATAGCTTGCTCCGCATGGCCTTGTGCCACATAACTTACACCACATAGCTTCTACCACGTACAGTCGAGTCAACCCGTATCGTAAGAACGCGCGACAAGGATGCAAGGGCCTTGAGGTCCATTTCGAAGCTTTCCGAGCGGGGCGCAGCCAACGAGAGTGGCCAGGGATGGACCGAGGAGGCAAGGATGCAAGGGTACCCTTGGGAGGGTCGCCCACCGTTACTATGCGGGTTGACTGAAGCTTGCACCGCATAGCTTACACACCCACCACCAAAGTCTGACTGGTCGGTGTCCACACTGACGAGCAGGGCTGGACCAAAACGTTGTTTTTCGTGTTGGTTTCGTCTTGTTGTTCGTTTTGCTCTGTCCCTTTTCCTGTGCCTCCCTGCCGAAACGAAAAACAAAACACGGCCAAAGCCCAACGAAACAGCGTTCAGGTCCAGCCCTGGCTTCACAAAGCTCCAACGTATTGAAAAAAAAGCAAGACACAAGTGTTCGTCAAATTTCGGCCCCTGGGGGCCCTCGCCGGGCCTCGGGACCGTCCAAAAAACGACTCGGGATGAAACACCGGTCCTGGGGAACGGGTCGAGGCTCCGGGACCCCGTATTGCAAAATCACGACATCGGATCTCTGGGTCACACGCCCACCACCAGACGTCTGACTGGTCTTAAGTCGGACCTGTCCCCCTGCAGGGGAATTTCGACGATACATAAAGAATACCCCCCAAAAAATAAGCAACAAATAATCCCAAAATAGTCTGGGGACTATGTCTTGAATATGGGTTGGCCTTTTAGTAATCTTTTAAAAGTATTTTTTGACCCAGGTCCGACATAAGACTGGTCGGTGTCCGCGCCGACGAGCAGAGGCAACCGCTGCCGCACGGCCGCCGCGGCCGTGAGCTTCTGGACTGCACCCCCCCCGCGGTGGACGGGGAGAGGCGGGGGCCCCTCGGCGGCCGACGAGGCCGCCGAGGCCCGTGAGGAGGAGGAGGAGGGAGGAGGAGGAGGAGGAGCAGGGAGGAGGAGGAGGAGGAGGAGGAGGAGGATTTGCGTATGCTTCGATGTATTGGGCCTCGCCTGGAGCACGAATCCTTGATGGTAGACGTATGTTTCTATAGATTGCCCTTCTCCTGTGTACACAGTCCTAAGTGTTTTACGTATGTCCATATAGATTGGGCCTCTCCTGGGCACGAATCCTTGGGGTTTTAAGTGTGTTCCTATATATATATATATATATATATATATATATATATATGTGTATGTATTGCCCTTCTCCTGCGGCTCCAATCCGCAATGCTTTAGGTACGTCTGTTGCTATAGATTGGGCCTCTCCTGGGGCACGAATCCTCCCCAGGAGGTCCCAGGAGGCCCCAAGAGGCTCCTGGAGGCCCCAGGAAGCCCCAGTTGGTGTCAGGAGGCCCCAGGAGGCCCCAGGCTCATGCGCAGAGACGCGCTCGCACTACTGAGGCTCATTCTCACTCCAATTCGTTCGCAGCTACATTCATGACCATACCGTCACAATTGAAGCCCGTTTATATTCGAAAGCTCTTGCGCCTAGACATTCACGGCGGACAGGTCCATGCGAATAGATGCACACGTGAGGAGCTCCACGCAGTGAAATTACTTGGACGCCTCCTACTTCTGCTCCTTCTCCTTCTCCTCCTTCTCCTCCTCATACCCAGACTGACTCAGACACAAAAAGCCACAGGAGGCCCCAGGAGGCCACAGGAAGCGCCAGGAGGCCTCGGAAGGCAACAGGAGGCCCCAAGAGGCCCCAGGAGCACGAGGCCTCAGAAGGCAACAAGACTGGCTCCAATCCCAGGTTGCGGTTGCACGGCACAATCCGGACGTTCGCCTTGGCCTCACCTTGGCCGGGCAACAGGACGCACGCCTTGGCAACAATCTCACACTTTTACATCATGATATTCGCATGTTGCGTTGCATGGCCAGACGCGCATTCCCAGATCCCACTGACAATTATCCTTTTAAAGAGATGCACATATGGGGATCTCCGCGCAGTGAGTAATTATTTCTGTCGCCCTCAGCACGGAATTTCGGCGTAAACCTCTACAATGTTCGTGGTCCCCCCCGTTTGCGACTCGAGTCGCGAGAGTGCGTGCGTGAATGGGGAACGCTGCGTGCGGTCTGGTCTCACCTTCTTCGGCGAAGCGTTCAGGGGTAATTACTGCAGATCCCTCAGCTGGTCCCTGGGTGTTGAACGGCCCTACTTATAGCCGCCACGTGTTTAGAAAGGGTTGAGTTCTGCGCCAGGTTCGTCTTTGCGACCCTGGGGGGGTCTGGGTCGGTGACCCCGAAACGTGTGGCTTGCAACCCGTGCATGGGGGGTGAGGGGGGGCGGGCGCAGACTCCGACAGAGATCTCCGCCGCGCCCCGACGAGGACTCGCCGGACCTATGGCGCAGAGCAGTGACCCCCATGAGCCCCACCGGCGCTTAGATCGCAAGCCACACCCCAGCGTAACCACACCCACCGTAGTCGCCGGCGAGATGGAGGCTCGGAAGGGGGCTCCCACACCGGAACGGGGGGGGGGCCTCCGCCAGGAGAAGAGGATCCTGGATTTGGGTGCGGAAGGTGATCCTTCGGCCATCTGGGAAGCCCGAGTACCACCACCGCCACCACCGCCGTCGCCTCGGCGAAGGCGCCCTGCCGACAGTGGTGCTGGTGCCACCCCGCAGGCCTCCCGAGCCCCCGCCCCGCACGCGGGCGCGCGCCCGCACTGTGCTGAGCCGCTGGCCTCGCCCGCGCGGGCGCGCGCGCGCGGCGCCGCGCCGCCCTCCGCCCGCGGCGCCGCCGAGGGGCGCCGGCGGCGGCGGCCCCCTCGGCGGCTCGGCGCGCCCTCGGCGGCACCCTCGGGGCGGGCCCGCTCGGCGGCGGGCGCCCGCGCCCGCGGGCTCCTCCGGCGGGGCCGCCCGCCGCCTCCGCGGCGGGCCGCCCGCGGGCCTCGGCGCGCTCTCGGCGGGCCGGGCCTCGCGCGCGGGCTCGCGCCCTCGGCGGGCGCCCCGCGGCCGCCGGCCCCTCAGCCGCGGCGCGCGGGGGGCGGCGCGCGGGGCTCCGCGCGCAGGCGCCGCGCCAGGTCCAGCGCGTGGGTGGTGCCCACCGTGAGGGGCGCGGCGCCGGCGAGGCGGTGCTCGGCGCACTCCGCGAAGTGGGCCTGCGGGGGCGCACCGGCGTCGACGCGCGTCTGGCGGCGGGCGAGGGGGGGGGGGCGAGAGGGAGGAGGCCTTCTCGGAGGGCGGCGGGGCTTCCCAGAGGCCCTCGCGCCTTGTGAGAGGCGGCTTCGGTTTTCGGGGAAGGCTTAGAAAACTTCTCAGCCTTCCGAGAAGGCCTGCCTCTCACTTCCCCCCTCGATCGCCGCCGACGCATAGCAAGGATGCGCGATAAGGATGCAAGGCCATTGGAAGCCCATTGCACAGCTTTTCGAGCGGGGCGCGGCCAACGGAAGTGGCCGAGGATGCACCGAGGAGGCAAGGAGGCAAGGAGGCAAGGATGCATGGGTACCTTTGGGACAGTTGCCCATCCTTCCTGTGCGGGTTGACTCCAACGTGAGTCACGCGAGTCCAAGAACTATAACATCTCGGAAGGCGAGCGTGAAAGTGAGATGGGGCGGAAAGCTGCCCGAGCACTGGATACGCTACACTGCTGACTCAATATGCTGGATGCGCGCCAGTCGCTCGCGTCACCGTGATGTGCACAGGGGGCGGCAAGATCACTCGGCGAGCGAGATCCACCCGATCGTGCCACCTCGTCTGCACGAGATGCCTCGACACGCGCGGACTCGTCTGCCCGACCAGCCAGGCTCGCAGCCCCGTGCCCGCTGGGGCCGCGGGTGCCGCTCCCTGCGAGGCGTGGAACCGTGCGAGGGTGTGCCGAACTGGGCGCGGGGCAGCCATGCGGGCACGCCCACTGGGGTCACGGGTGAAGCTCCCTGGGCGGCACGAAGCGTGTGGGGAGTGGGCCGAAGCGGGCGCGGGGACGCCGTGCGAGCGCGTCCACGGAGGCCACCTGTGCAGCTCCCCGTGGGGCACGAAGGAAGCGTGAGAGGCGTGCCGACTATGGGCGTGGGCGCCGGATCTCTAGAGGCCTCCTGGATGGGGTCGGAGTAGATGGGGTCGGAGGACCGCGCCGCATCGCCGATATATCGGCGATACATCGGCGATGCATCGGCGATGCATCGGCGACGCACCGGCGATGAGGCGTCGACGTCGGCGATGTATCGGCGACGTCGGCGTGGAGAACATCGGGCTCCGCATCGAGCCGCATCGTCGATGCATCGGCGATTCGGCGCGATCCTCCGACCCCATCTGCTCCGACCCCATCTGGGAGGCCTAGAATCTCTGGGCGCCGTCCACGCTGCCCCCGAGGCGCCTCCGCGCGGCGGGCGGGCCCGCCGGGGGCGCCCGCGGCAGCGCCCTCCCGCGGCCCCGCGGCGAAGCGGAGCGCCGAGGGCAGGCGGTGCAGCGGCGGCGGCTGGCTCCGGCGGAGCACCGCGCTGAAGAACTCGTACCTCGGGGGCCCAGGATTAGATCGGACATGTCCCCCTATAGGCGGATTCTGGTCGAAAGAATATAATTAGTATTTTAAGAAGAGATAATACTCATAATCATATGCATAATCATATTCAAATCATAATCATAGTCATAAACAGAATCATAAGCATAATCATAATCATAATCATATTCATAATCATAATCATAATCATAGTCATAATCACAATCATAATCATAATCATAATCATAATCAGCATAACAATAAATAAGAATAATCGTAATATCAATAATACTAATAATTGTAATAACAATCATACACATACAAACAACAACAACAACAACAACAACAACAACAATAACAACAACAACATCGGTAATAGTAATCAACATAATAATGATGATATTACTACGAATGATAGCAATTATAATAATGATCATAATGGTACTAAGGATACTACTGCGAATACTAACAATAATGGTAATCATGAAAATAATATTCAAAGTCAGGAAGGATCATGATAGTATTAATAGTAATAACAATAATGAAAATTCAAACGTTTACTGATATTATCTATGTTTCAAAAAAATGCCCCTATTTAGCTTGAAACATACTTTAAAAATCGTCCCCCGATTTTGTTGTACTATTTCTGATCATTCCTCCTATAGAGGGAGAGGCCCGACTTACGCCCAGGGTTCTTGGCTTTAGGCGCGGGGTTCTCGGGCACGTCCGTCGGCCCTCGGCGGTTCCTGCGAGCGCCAGGGTGCTTCGAGAGCGTTTTCTCTCTCATTCGCGGCGGTGGCGGGCGCTTTGGGGAGGGGGGGGGGCGGGGGGACGCAAAACGAAACGCCGCGCCACACTGTGGTGCCGGACGCTCTGGGACGCTGTGCGGCAGCGCTGGGGACGCGCTGGGCGGGGAGGAGCGCGAGGTTATGGGGAGGGGGGAAAGGGTGGGGGGAGAAGGGGGGCATAACGCGAGGCATGGCAAAACGCACTCTTCCAAGCGGCTGCGCCTCGCCCAGCTGGAAAACTCCTACCTCGGGGGCGCGACTGGCCCGGCTCAGTTTTCGAGGCTTCCGGGTTCAAGGTGCGAGGTTCTCGGCCGTGCTCGTCGGTCGTCGGCGGTTTTCGAGACTCGGGGCGCTTCCCAGCAGCTGCGCCTCGCCAAGCTGAAAAACTCGTACCTCGGGGGCGCGACTGGCGCAGCCCGCCCGGGTTTTCGAGGTTCTCGACTTCGAGGTCGAGGTGCGACGCCTTCGGCCGCACTCGCCTGCCCCAAGCGGTTTTCCAGCCTCGGGGTGCGTTCCAGCGGCTGCGCCTCGCCGAGGGGCGTTCAGAGGCCGAAAGCCCGAGGCCTCTGAACGCCCCTCTGAGGCCGAAAGCCCGAGGCCGAAAGCCCGAGGGGCGTTCAGAGGCCAGATCATCCCGAACGGCCGCCAAGAGGCCGAAATAGTTGCCCGAGAGCCTCAGGGGGATGGACCGACCATGAGATCTTGGCCTCGCATCTGTTTTTCCATCGCGTGCGATTTTGCCTCGCGTTTCGGGCCATGGAGCCCTCGCGGATCGATCCGGCTCGGGAAATGCCGCAGAGATCCAGGCGTCCAATCGACTTTCTGTTCGATGTTCTGTCTCTCGTGACGTCGGAGCTCAGGTTCAGGGGGAGCGGAATTGCGAACCATTGTTCGTCGTGACGTTCTCACGAGGCGAGGAGATTGCTGTTTATCCTCTGGCGCGGAGCGGTCGTTACCAGGGCCACTCCCCCCTCCTAAGGTAACGTTGAAGATCGTACGTAGGGGTGCCGCCTGACTCATCCACGCGCTGGTGCTCTCGCGCGTGCTAAAGCGATCGCAAAGCACCCTCGCCACGACGTGCCCCAGCCCCCCCAAGCGTCACCGTCACCCGTGACCCCACACCACCCCTGAGTAACGACTGGTGTACAAGAAAAACTCGGCTGATGTTCCTCGCATCGCGTCGAACTGGAGTGTCGTGTGGTCATTTGTCCCTGCATCCCTGGCCAGTTATGTACATGCATACATACATACATACATACATGCATACATAAATACATACATACGTACGTACGTACATACATACAGACAGACAGACAGACATACATACATACGTACAAAGAAACAAGCGTCCGTACATGCATACATATACATATATGTTTACACAAATACATGCATGCACGCATACATACATACGTACGTGTGCACATACATGCATACGTACATACGAACATACATACATACATACATACATACATACATACATACATACATGCATACATGCATACATGCATACATGCATACATGCATGCATGCATACATACATACATACATACATACATACATACATACATACATACATACATGCATGCATGCATGCATGCATGCATGCATACACACACATAGACATATACATCGACGTAGACATAAACATAGACATAGACATAGACAAAAACATTGACGTCTGCATAAGCATAGACATAGGCATAGTCACATACATACATATGATATACATGTACACATACATATACATATACATATAGGTCCATATACATTTACATATGCATATGCATGTTAACATACATACATACATACATACATGTGCATCGACACCTACGTACATATGTATATAAATACGTATTCCTGTACATGTACATATGCATACACAACTGCATATAACTATACATATACATAGGCATATACATTTACATATACATATACATATGCAAATACATATACATATACCTATACATATACATATACATATAAATAAGCATAAACATATGCATATACATACCAGCATAAGTAGATACATGAATATACACATTGATTATCAGAGCGTCGCCGTACTGATTTGTTCGCCAGTTCAATACATTATCGGGTTAGGGACGGCTATGGCCCGCGGTCGTTTGTGAGTTGCAAGGTGAGAGCTACTGAAGTCTGACAGGAGGCCTGTTGGGAGCCAGTTCGAAGGCCTTGGAAGCATCTTTGGGGTATCTTGGGGCGTCTCGGGCCCTCTTGGGGGCCTGATGGCGATTCGAGTTCCCCCTCTTAGACCTTATATGTGTATGCACACATATGTACTATAACAAGATACAGACATACACGTGCATAGATACAGACATGCATGGATACAACGATACATGATACATAGATACAAACACACATGCATTACAGTACAGTACATCGCATTACAATGTAATACACTAAATCACGTTCCATTGCATGACATTACACTACACTACATTGCACGACATTGCTTTGCATTACATTACAATACAATTCATTAGATTGCATTGCTTTACACGACATTATATTACATTACATTACATTATATCCCATCCCATCACTTTTCATGACATTCCAATACAACGCACTACACTGCATTACATTAAGCTGCCGTACGTTACATTACATTACACTACACTACATTACACTACATTACATTACACTACACTACATTACATTACCTCATATTCCTCCTCCTGCTCCTCCTCCTCCTCCGCTTCCCCCTCCTCCTCCTCCTCCTCCTCCTCCTCCTCCTCCTCATCTCTATTTGTCCTCCCTCTCCTCCGCTTCTTCTTTATCCCCCGCGTGTTCCCCGAAGGGTTTCCACAACGGGGGGAGCACATGGTCCGGTAGCTTGGCAGAGTTTTAACCAAAACGTTCGGCCATATGGGCGATTCCAAAAGGCAGTGGGCGGCGGTGATTCGCCGTGGGCGTCTTCAATATGTATATATATACATATATGCATGCGAATGTATATATACACACCTGTAAATAGATATAGGAAGAGAGAGAGAGAGAGACAGAGAGAGTGAGAGAGATATCGAAGACTAGACGACATGGACATGTCAGAACTGCGCGCCTCCAGCGTCGACGCACTACAGTGTCGTTGCAAGGGGATCCTCCCCCAGAGTAACGGCCGTTTCCAGTAATCATACTCAAAAGAGCAAGTATCCCAGAAATCCTCCTTCGTGACTTGTGTTGACAACCTGGTTCCCCAGAGGTCTGCTTCTCCCTTCCCCAAGACCAGGTTTTCGCCTTGGATCGTTTTTGGACGATCCCGAAAGCCAGCGGGGGCCCCAGACACTTAAAACGACCAAGAACCGCCGCCTTGGTCTTTGACCATGTATCGGAGGTCTGGGTCAGGGATCGGTGGGACGCTGGACAGAGGGTCCAGGCAACGACCACTTCCAGAAGCACTCCAAAAGCAATCCGCGGGGTCTGGAGGAGGAGGAGGAGGAGGAGGAGGGACGAGGAGGCGGGAGGAGGAGGAGGGAGGAGGAGGAGGCAGGACGAGGAGGCAGCGGAGGAGACACCCGAGGGGGGCCGGGGAGCACCGCCAGTCCACGAGCTCCGGCTCGTCCCTCCAGCCGCGCGGCGCGCCCGGGCCCAGCAGGGGCCCCGCGGGCACCCAGGCGGGCGGCGCGGCCAGGGGCAGCGGCGGCGGCCCGGGCGGGCGCGGCGGCAGCGCGTGCGCCTCGGGGCCCCCCCTCGAAGGTCGCGGCGCCCAGCAGGAGGCCCAACCGCTCGGCGGCGGCGAGGCTCGAGGCTTTTGTCGGGCGGCTTCGCGTCGGCTCTCGGCGGTGCTCCCCAGCCTCGGGGTGTTTTTCCAGCAGCTGCGGCTCGTCGACGGCTTCTCCGGGGGTGCCCGAGATCGATCCGATCGGCCGCTGCAGAGGCCTGAACAGCAGTGGCCCGAAAACCCAAAAGGTCCCGAAGCAAAAGCAAACGAGGTTTTCCTAGCTTTCGGCGTCGGGGAGCACTTGCTGGGCCTCGGAACCGTCAAGAACAGACTCGTGACGAAAAAGTCGGTCCCGCGGAAGGGGTCGAGACCTCTGGTTGGTCCGCGCTGTGGAAAGATCCTGACGCATTTGTTTCATGTTGCTCCCATCGTACTTGAGGACCACATCCCTGAAAGAATTTCGAACACCCCGAACAGTATCGAAACAATGTCGAACGAGTATCGCCTCCCAGGGCCCACAAACTTCCGTACTTCATCGATGCTCGAAGTTCTTTCCAGTGACCATGGCTAAAGTAGGTTCGAACATGAGAACATCTGTCGCGCATCGAGCCTCAAGCGAAAAAGGGGGACGAGGCTGCGGGTTTGAACCCCCAGGGGCCCTTCAGACCAAATTGCCTACGGTGCGGCATCGAACGGGTATCGCCAACGATGACACCGGAAGCGCAGCGGCAAGGCGCTGTGGACTGCAAGGAGGTCATGACGCCGGGGGCTCGAGCCTCGAGCAGCGCCAGGGCGCGGGGACCCGCGACGCCCATCGCCGCCAGCTGGCCGGCCAGGGCGGCCGCCACAGAGGCCCCCAGGGACCAGCCGAGCAGCACGCCGTCCTGCGGGGGGGGCTGGCCCGCAGCGGCCTCTGGAAGCGGCGGGTCTGGATACTTTTTTACGTCGGCGGCGAGGCAGAAGAGCTGCTCCAGCGGGTAGCGATCGGGGCGACCGTGGGCGACGAAGGTCTTACGCAACAAAAAAAAAAAAAAAAAAACGAAGACCATACGCCGCGGCTTACGCGGGCCGCTGGCGTTTTACACCGCGTGGAGGAGGGCGCTCGGCCATGACCTTACGCAGGAAACTTCGGGGCGAATGTCCGCGCAATCGAACCCGTTTTCTTCCATCGTTCACTTAGCCCCCAAGGGCCCTAACATGTATCTGAGTATGCACACACACACCTATACGACCACCTTTGGGGTGTAGGAGCGGTGGAAGGGAAAGCACCAACTGAGGACAACTGCGATGATGATGATGATGGTGGCGATGATGGTGATGCGTTCGCGACTTGGCGGCGATGCAAGACGACGATGCTGACGACAACGCATGATAGCAATGGGCTCACGCACTGGCAACGCTGGAGAAAAACCATGACGGCGATGACGACCGTGGAGGGACACCGATGGGACACCGACCAGACACCGACGGGACACCGACGGGACTCAACGGGACACCGACGGGACACCGACGGAACACCAACTGGACACCGACGGGGCACCGACGCGACACCGACGGGACACCGACGGGAAACCGACGGGACACCGACGGGACAACGACGGGACAACGACGGGACATCGACGGGGCACCGACGGGACGCCGATGGGACAACGACGGTACACCGACGGGACACCACGGCGAGACATCCCCGGCCACCGCCCGCGGACACCGACGGGACACCGAAGAGACACCGACGGGACACCACGGCGGGACACCGCGGCTGGACACCCCTGGTCGGGGGGATATTCAAACATAGTCAAAAAATAGTCTGGGGACGATTTGTGTTTTACCATTCTTGACTTTTCCTTGATATTTGTTGGGGGATGTTTTAATTTTGTCGTCCAATCTCGGCCTCCAGGGGGACAGGCCCGACTTAATGCTGGACTCCGGTGTGCTTCGGCACTGCCACGGCCCCCGCCGCCCCCTCGTCCGGGCCGGGCCACCGGCTCGTGCGGCGGCGGCGGCGGCGGCGGCCGACGCGACCCAGAGCGGAGCCCAGGCGACGCCAGTCAAGGACACAACTGCACGATATCAGACTCGCCTGTTCTGGGTGCACCCAGCTCGGTGGAGCGTGCTGCGGTCGAGGGCTCTCCCCCTCTCGACGCCCCGAGCCCCCGGCGGGTGCGCCGTGCGAGGGGAGAGCGCGACAGCGCTCACGACGGACGGACGGACAGGCAGGACCAGTTTGCGCGCGCCTCCAGCGAGGCCAACGAGGAGTGCTGGAGAAGATCGGGGTGACCCCCCCGCAGGGAAAGGGCCCAATCTGCAGGTTGAGTTTAACAGCGCATCGTTGAGCGGTGCTTCAGCCCCCCGTGGGCACAAACCCTCCCGGAGCAGCAGCTGGACACCATCATGCCTTGCTGGACTCCAGGCGCGTGCAGCAACAGCATCCGCCGCCGCCGCGTCAGGGCCACCGACTCATGTGACGGCGACAACGACAGTGGGGGTGGCCGACGCGACCCGCAGCTAAGCCGAAGCGAAGCTCACTCCTGGCGTGCTTGCAATACAAAAGCAAAGCGACGGCGAAGACGACGACAGACGGACGCATGCGTCACGCACACCCATTGCAGCACACCCCTCACACGCTTCGTAGCCCCATAGGGAGCTCCACCGAAGGCCCCAGTGGCGTAGCCCGCATGCGTCACGCACACCCATTGCGGCATACCCCTCACACGTTTCGTGGCCCCGTAGGGAGCCCCACCGACCGCCCCAGTGGCGCAGCCCGCGTGCGTCACGCACACCCATTGCGGCACGACCCTCACACGTTTCGTAGCCCATAGGGAGCTCCACCGAAGGCCCCAGTGGCGCAGCCCGCATGCGCCACGCACACCCAATGCGGCACACCCCTCACACGTTTCGTGGTCCCATAGGGAGCTCCGCCGAAGGTCCCAATGGCGCAGCCCGCATGCGTCACGCACACCCATTGCGGCACACCCCTCACACGTTTTGTGGCCCAATGGCGCAGCCCGCATGCGTCACGCACACCCATTGCGGCACACCCCTCACACGTTTCGTAGCCCCATAGGGAGCTCCACCAAAGGCCCCAGTGGCGCAGCCCGCATGCGTCTCGCACACCCATTTCGGCACATCCCTCACACGTTTTGTGGCCCAATGGCGCAGCCCGCATGCGTCACGCACACCCATTGCGGCACACCCCTCACACGTTTCGTAGCCCCATAGGGAGCTCCACCGAAGGCCCCAGTGGCGCAGCCCGCATGCCTCACGCACACCCATTTCGGCACACCTCTCACACATTTCGTGGCCTCATAGGGAGCTCCACCCAAGGTCCCAGTGGCGCAGCCCGCATGCGTCACGCACACCCATTTCGGCACAACCCTCACATGTTTCGTGGCCCCATAGGGAGACACCCCTCACAGGTCGTGGCCTCATAGGGAGCTCCACCAAAGGTCCCAGTGGCGCAGCCCGCATGCGTCACGCACACCCATTTCGGCACACCCCTCACATGTTTCGTGGCCCCATAGGGAGACACCCCTCACAGGTCGTGGCCTCATAGGGAGCTCCACCCAAGGTCCCAGTGGCGCAGCCCGCATGCGTCACGTACACCCATTTCGGCACACTTCTCACACGTTTCGTGGCCCCATAGGGAGCTCCACCGAAGGTCCCACCGCCTGCATGCGTCCGCCACACCCATTTCGGCGCACGCCCCACACGTTTCGTGGCCCCACAGCGAGCTCCACCGAATGCCAGTGCCGTTGACCGCATGCGTCCGCCACACCAATTTCGGCACACCATCAACACGTATCGTAGCCCCAGAGGGAGCTCCACCGAATGCCCCAGCCACCGCCCGCACGCGTACGCCTCAGTCATGTCGGCACACCCCTCACACGTTTCGCGGCCCCACAGGGAGCTCCACTGAATACGGTATTTGCAATTGCGGTTCGCACAGCTGCATATGGTTAGGTCCTTCGCCAGGCTATTCTTCTGGGAAGCAGCCTGTTTACTATTTAGTGCGCTGAACTTTGCTCCAGGAGTTTGTTTTTTTCTTCCAGGAAGACCGTTTAAGCAGCCACGGGCTTGCCAGCCTCCTCCTCCTACTCCTCCTTCTCCTCCTCCTCCTCCTCCTTCTCCTCCTTCTCCTCCTCTTCCTCCTCCTCCTCCTCCTCCTCCTCCTCCTTCTCCTCCTCCTCCTCCTCCTCCTCGTCCTCCTCCTCCTCCTCCTCTTCCCGGGAGTTTGTACTTTTTCCTTCCGGGAAGACCGTTTTAGCAGCCACGGGTTTGCCAGCCCTCGCCCGGCTTCCGAGCCCCGAATCCTGCGCCCGCGGGTCGTCCAGCAGCGGCGGGGCAAACGCCAGCAGCGCCGCCTGCTCCAGGGAGCACAGGCCTCAGGGGCAGCGCTCGGGAGGGGACCTGCAGGCAGCGATAGGGGGGGTAGGCAAAGGGGGGATGCATCGACCTCGAATGGCCAATACATAGCCCATGCATCGTCGATGCAGACCGCTATGTCTCGTGTATACATCGTCGGTACGTCGCCCTAGCATCAACGATGCATCGTCGATGTGTCAGCCATTCGAGGTCGATGCATCCCCCTCCTTGCCTGTCCCCCCCTCTCGCTGCACCAGGGGACCAGCGCAGGGAGGGGGTGCAAGTCGGATAACAAACAATGGCACGAGCATCCAGTTTCCGCACAAAGAATCCATTTGACAATTCTCGACAACGCACGACCGGCACCGCCCCAATCGCCCACCCTTCCCCCCCGGGTCACGCGACGATTCGCGCCAGAGCCGCAGGAAGCAGCCACTCTTCAGCAGTCCCAAACGACTCAGCAGAAGATCGTGACGTGACAGGCACCCTCCACTGAAGGGGCCCTGGGACACACAAATAGATACACACAAATAAAAGGGTTCCACATATTTTCCCATATTTTCAGGGTTTTCGTCTTCCCCCCCGTTTCCCATATTTTCTGGGGAATCGACGATCAATTGTGTCTGTGTGTGTTTTTCC